TATGGAAATGCTGATAGCCAGCTACTCGAATGCTAAGCATTTATGGAACTATAAAGTTCTGTCTGCTAACCGTTACATAATCCTGTGTATTGCTCTTAGTCTGACGACATAACAGTGGGGAGGAGAGGACCAAGGATCAGTACTCTGGAGCCTTGCTTCTGCTCATTGATTCGTTCATTAACTCAATAAACATCGATTATTTTCCTCATGCCAAGAGATTAGAGGCGAGAACACAGATATGAGTAAAGCAGATGTTTGTTCTCAAGACATTTTCAGTCTAACAGTGAAGACAAACCGGTCAATAGGCTCATGCCTTACAATGGGATAGGTGCCCTGAAATAGAGTCTGTACACAGAGAGTGCAATAGGGCTGGGAGCAGGACAGAAGAACACAGCGGGGAGGGGTGCGAGGCTTCTGAAGGGGGTCTCCTCGGGGAGGTGGTGCTCGAGATGGCTGAGTTGGAATGACAGGCATTCATGGAGAAGGAGCCAAGAAAGGGGGGCCACAGCGGCAAGGACATTTAGGGGCCACTGCGAGCTTTTCTTGAACAAAACATGAAGGAGGGGTCTTTTTAATTTGCAAAGCATTCACAGTTCAAGCTGTATGATTATCTGGCCACCTGCCAGAGAGACCCATGTGTGCATGCTTTTCAGCCTACTGCGGGTTTAGTCAGGCGGCAAGTATTTATTATGCGCCCATTATGTACATACGCCATAGTAGGCACACGAGGAAGAAAGGTAAGAAGAAAAGAAGCAGGAACTCAAATATTGTGAAAAATGGAGCATTTCGTGTTGAGTGCTGCTTACAATTGTGGCTTCATCTGACTCATCGTGAGCAGAGACAATACAGCTATTGTTATGGCAGCCAGCTCTGCCTCTCATAGCCAGTGCTGCCCTCCCGCCTGCCCTCTGTGCCCTGGTGCTGTGGGTCTCACCACTCATTTGCATAAAGCCTCTTGATTTGGGTCCCATCTTCCCATTACCTTGGTAAAGAATTGTCGTTGCATCTAAAGAGACTGGAGAACTTCCTCTTGCAGCTGCTCCTCTGCCAGCAAGGTGGTGGGAAGTCACAAGGGACCAGCAGAATCAGCAGCCTATGGCTGTTCCTCTACCCAAAACTTTCCACTTCTGTGGTGCCACAGCAAGCTGAGGATTCCCTATGGCACTTTCAGGGAGAACAGGGATGTAAAAGAAGGGACCCAGGGAAGCAAGGCCCTGAGCAAAATGGCTGGTGGTGCTAAATGTCATCAGTATGTCAAGGGTGCTGACTTCAGCACTGAGTATGTTTTTGAAGAACGCTAATTACAAATGATCATCTTTCCTTTGTTGTTCCTCAGTCCACCCAGTTGTCTCATCAGTATTTACACAGATAAATCCCAGCTTCCTGCCACTGCTTCAGACTACAGCCTCTTTCCATCTGCCTGCCTCGCAAGCACGAGGACCGGAGTTCAATCCCTGAACAACAACAACAAAAAAGAATAAGGATGCTGATTTGGAACAACATCCTTTAAAGCATATAATGGGAAAGATAAATGAAATTCAGACAACTAAGACCTTACCTTAATTCTGTAACACAAACCCCTGTGTCGATAAGCTGTCCATGTAAAAGCACTAAGTTCATAAAATATCCTAGTGCAGGTTTTTAACCTTGTAGAAGTAAATCATCTATAGGTAGACAAAATAGATAAGAAAAGTAATACTATGTTGTAGTGCTATAAAATTTAAATTAAAACTTTTTTAACAATTAGTATATAAAAATGCCCTTAGTATGTCTCAGGTCAATTATACTCAGCATTAGATTCTGCGTTTCACGAAAGGCATTGACAAAGGGGTGGCATCCAGACCCTGTGCTCACATCCTTGTCAGCATTGTATGCGTCTTTGCTAAAGGACCAGGCAAAATGAGGTAGCTCAAGAAAACAGCAGCAGAAGCTGGATCACTCTTCAGTCAAGAGTTATTTCCCCAAACTGCAAGAAGCTGGCTTTATGTTCTCTACTCTCCAATTGATCTCCAGCCATCTCTAAGATAGGACAATAGAGCATCAAAGGAAGAGACCCTTACATTTCAGAGTCTTTGTTTTTGTAAAGAAACAACACTCTTTCCCTTCTAGGGAAAAGAAAAAAAAAGCGGGGGGAGGAAAAGGTGATGTGATACTTCCTGCTACTCTAGCAATTCTGCCATTGATTTCCTTAAATCTTTCACCCAGTGTCCCCTGATGCCCCCGGCCACTCCAAATGCCTTTCCTGGGGCCTTAATCTACCTTCTAAGAATTTCAGTCTCTACATCTTTTATTTCTCCAATTAGAATTTCAGTTACCAATTGTCAAAAACATACGTCAACACAAACATTGATTAACTGAATAATGGCAAGTAAAGGGAAGACTAATACGATATCTTTATCCAAGTGAGACAATCCACCTAATTCTCCTGTGGTAAAGGAACTTGTTGATGGAGGCTTTAAGAGCATATGAAAAAACGAAAGCGTTGAAATTGAGGACATGAATAGATTTACAAGAGCACTTTGAAGTCATTTTGTATGCAAAAAAAAAGGCATAAAAAGTAATAGATAATAGTGATACTACCAGATGGCTAGAGTTTTTGGAAGCCAATCTGTTTTATTTCACTAAATACATCTGTGTTTTAACATCTAGAAAAGTGCCTGTTATGTAATGGGGCTAAATTTTATTTTCTACTTAACTAAATGAATATCTGTTATATAGGGTTCAATCACTACAAATCAATTTCATTTAACAGGGATTGTTGCATTCTTATGTGCTTTTTACCTAAATATTCAGTGATTATTATTGTTGTTGTTGCTGTTGTTGTTATTCTTTTTAATGTCCCATCAGGCTCCTGGAGATGAAAAATACCTTGGATATTTGCAATGGGAAGAGATGTAGATCACCTTAATTTGATGTGTGTGGTTCTCAAAAATTAAATGGCATTTCTAAACTATATCCTCTTTTCCTCCAAAAAGGACAGAGCTTGATGGCCTTAGCTCAGCCTTAAAAGCCTTGAATGCCCAAGTATTTGTTTCCACCCCATCTTCTTTATATCTCACTTTTGTTTCTTCTGCACTCGTTTCGTGGTGCTTCCTGTACTAAATACTGGAGTTCCTAAGGTCTTGGTCCTAATCCCACTTCTCCTTTTCCTCCATCAGTCTTCCTAAATGACCAGGTCTATTTGCATGGTTTTAAACACCAAATACATGCTTCTGACTCCCAAATACCTGTGTGCAGTCTTGACCTTCCTCTTACACTCCAAATCTGTAGACCTAGTCCTCTCCTGGGCATTTTTACCCAAATACCTGGGAGGTAAAACAAAATATTTTAGTGTGTTGCAAAGGCACTCATTTTATCCTCACATATTAGTGCTGTTCCTAGTCTTCCCTGAGTTCAATTATTGACCCATGTAGTCTCTACAGTGGAATACTATAAAATTGCCCACTTGACTGTTCAGAACCACAAAGCCATATTTGGGGCCCAAGCCGCTTTTTTATTTTCCACCTCCAACTCATGAGCAAGTACAATTGTTCTGAGCTCAAAAATAAGTCTTGCATTTCTTGATTTATATCCAATTCCACTCAACAGCAAAATCACCACCTCTTGTCAAAACCGAGGTGACAAATGTCTCTCTGCTACCAGCCTTTCCCCTTAAAGAGCTAGTCCACACAGCTGCACCTAAGAAAACAAGAAACCCATTGTGTCAGTGCACTCTGAGCCACTTGATAGGTGTCAACACCATCACTCTTCGAATACAATGACAAGGCCTCACTGTGACCTTCCAGGCCTGCACAAATGTCCTCTCCATATCTATCTATAGTCACTCTCTGACCCCTCCCAGCTACCTCTCCAGCCTCCCCTTGAGCACCACACACTGTGTGCTGGGACATCTGACACTTCTAAGACATGACCCAAGCTTTCCTGTCCTCCACTCTGGAAACTGGAAACAATACTCCTGTGCTGGAATGCTCTTCCCTCTGCCACTTTGTTTTTCTGTTGTTTTGTTTCTGAAACATGGTCTCACTAAGTTGTCCAGACTGGCCTCAGGCTCACATTCTCTTCTGTGTCAGCCTCCCAAGGGCTGGGATTACGGACGTGTGCCATTAATATCTGGCTTGTTTTGACATATGGCACATACCGGCATATCTTTTACCAAAAGTTCATCACCTCTATATTTTTCCTAGGATTTTAACATTTTTTTAAAAAAGAACGCTGCAAAGTCCCTTATTCTGATTCATTCTTTTCTCTTCCTTCTTACTGTGAGAAAGTAATAGGTGTTGCTAGTTCCCTACCCTGCATTCATATCTCCCTTTCTTCTTCCTAACTTTGACTTTGTTATGTTATTCACACACCTCCCACTCCCACCTCCACCCCTTGCCCTAAAGCCTGTGCAGAAGCAAAAGCCAACTTGGGCCAGGGATATAGCTCCGTGGCACTGTACCTGTCTAACAAGTACAAGGTCTTGAGTTCAATTCTCAGTACCAAAAAGCAACAACAACAACAACAACAACAAAAGCCAACTGTACCCTGACTATGGCTAGTCCTCCAGCAGGGAGCAGTAGGCCTTGCAGAGGTGCCTATACTTGCTGTTCCACCATTAGGGCCTTGCTCTCAGAGCTGGGGTGAGACTAGAAGAGCCAGGCTATGTGAATTTTCCCTCTGATGCCAAGGCCTACACTAAATGATATCCTTGTTGACTCAGGCTTTATCATCTCTCATCTTCTTACCTCATCTAGTTGTCTGCTTTTAACTAAAAACATCACATCATAAATAGAAGGAAACTGGGCTTCCTAAATGTCTCCACACCTCTCTGCCAACACAACTAAGAAAACTGTTTTTTTCTTTCTACAGCTAATCATTTTTGGTTAGTGCATTATTTTAGATAGTTGTGTTTCAACTCCATATTACAAAAGACATACTCAGGTCAAAGTCCCTGTGTGAATGCAAGATGTTTAAACTAACTCCCAACTGATCTCTCTGTTTCTCCTCTCTGCTTGTAGGTTGCAGCATGTTTACTTTCCTGACATCTGTCACTGCGGCTCTCAGTGGGCTCCTGGTAGGTTATGAACTTGGGCTCATCTCTGGGGCTCTTCTGCAGATCAGAACCCTGTTGGCCCTGACCTGTCATGAGCAGGAAATGGTTGTGAGCTCCCTGCTCATTGGGGCTTTCCTCGCCTCTCTCACTGGAGGGATTCTGATAGACCGATATGGACGAAGGACTGCAATCATTTTGTCATCTTGTCTACTCGGACTTGGAAGCTTGGTCTTGGTCCTCAGTTCGTCCTACATAATTCTCATCATGGGACGTATAGCCATTGGAGTCTCCATTTCTTTATCTTCCATTGCTACCTGTGTATACATTGCTGAGATTGCTCCGCAACACAGAAGAGGCCTCCTTGTGTCACTGAATGAGCTGATGATTGTCATTGGCATCCTTTTTGCCTATATTTCAAATTATGCATTTGCCAGTGTCTCTCACGGCTGGAAGTATATGTTTGGTCTTGTGATTCCCTTAGGAATTTTGCAGGCAATTGCAATGTACTTTCTCCCTCCAAGCCCTCGATTTCTGGTGATGAAAGGGCGAGAAGAAGCTGCTAGCGAGGTGCTTGGAAGATTAAGAGCAATCTCAGACACAACTGAGGAGCTTACTGTGATAAAATCTTCCTTAAAAGATGAGTATCAGTATGGTTTTTGTGATCTGTTTCGGACCAAAGACAATATGAGGACTCGGATAATGATAGGTCTAACACTGGTATTTTTTGTACAAATCACTGGCCAGCCAAACATATTATTTTATGCATCAACTGTTTTGAAGTCTGTTGGCTTTGAAAGTAATGAGGCAGCTAGTCTGGCTTCCACTGGAGTTGGGGTGGTCAAGGTCATAAGCACCATCCCGGCCACTCTTCTTGTAGACCATATCGGCAGTAAAACCTTCCTCTGCATTGGTTCATCCATGATGGCAGCTTCGTTGCTGACTATGGGTATTGTGAATCTTAACATCCACATGGATTTCACAAATATCTGCAAAAGCCACATCCCCAGTAACCAGTCCTTGGATGAGCCTTTGCTTTATGAAGCAGGAAACCTGTCAGCCAGCAACAATATTCTCAGAGAGCACTTTAAAGAAATCACTTCCCACAGCAGAAGCTCACTTACTCCCATGGGAAATGACATGGATACGAAAGGGGAGATGAACTCCACATTCTCACCAAATTCTGGACTACACCAAACTGAATACCAGATAGCCACAGACCCTGCAGATGTCCCAGCTTCTTTGAAATGGCTGTCTTTAGCCAGTTTGCTCGTTTATGTTGCTGCTTTTTCAATTGGTCTAGGACCAAGTAAGTACTTTATTCTTTATTCCTTTCTTCTCTTCACTATGAATTCCACTGCACTGTTTTTGATCAGAACATTCTACTACTAGAGGGCCTTGTTCCATGTAAGTACTAGAAGCAACACAAGGATAATAATAGCCATCAGATGTTTCTGCTAATGTGGAAAGTGTGCCTAACTTTACCTGCTTCTGAAAAGCTTGGTGCTGGTATTCAACTAAAGGATAAGTTAGTTTTCCATTATCTGTCATTTGAGAATACAATCAGATGAATTGGAAAGAGATTAATTGCCCAAGGGCATTATATTATTTTATGAAATCAAAGTTTACTGGGGTTACAATTTTCCTCTATGTCATCTCTGAGTTTATTTACAGATAAAATTTAAAAAATCAAGTGTTTAGATTTTCTTAAAGACATGGTAATGGATGCATCATGAAATAAGGAATTATGAGTTGGATGCATTATTTCTTTGAGTAAATTTTACAGTAGTAATCTCTCAGGGCAGTTCTCTCTTATGCATTAAATAAGAGAATTGGAGTCTAGTTAGTTCTATCTAACACAATTAAAACAACTTACAGGGAGATAAATATACGGTTGACCTATTTTTAGCTCCATGACAAAGTTTAAATGATTCTCTTGAGCAAAATCTCTTAGAAAGGGATTTCCTACACTAGGTTGTGTTTAGCAGTTCTATAGTTTTTTATCCTCACATTCACAGTCCAATCCTTCCTGGAACATGATTGGGAAGGTCTTCTCTATACCTCACTAGGAAAAACATACTTTAAAAAAATCAGCAGTAGTCTTTTTCTACCCTACTTTTTACCTCCTTGTACTTTTTCTTCTTATCCCTGTCCTCTTTTCCTTCTTCTCGCTCAGGCCCTCCTCTCTATTACAGAGTTAGTTTTGAAACTTATCTGTAAGGATCAACAAAGCAAATAAATTGCTTCAAACGAAGGGCAGTAGTGGAGGTTCTGGACAAATATGAAAACACAGGCTGTATTGAAGAGGGCATTTCAGGTACCAGGTGCTGGATGGGGATTCTGGAAAGAAAGTCACAAGATGGCTTGTTCTAGCCATCACTGTTAACTTATTAACTGTGCATTCAAGAGATATGTATCAAGTGACTCATTTTTTTAAGTAACCAAGAACAATACCAATGCTGGGAAAATAGGAATGAATAAGGCAAGCTTTGTTTCTGTACTCAAGGAGAATATTGTGGAATAAATGAGCCATACTCCTTGCACCCATCTCTTGCTGCTCAGCAATGGTCAGGATTGGTTGGTTGCCCAATCTCCAATAATTAGTGACTAGACTTGCATGTGTTGATGTGGCCTCTCCTGCCCCAAGCCTACCTTCTCAAAGTTCATAACTTCCACGCCCACATCTAAAATATCACTTTCTAGGTACTGATTTGTTCAAATTACATAGAAGAGGGGAGATCTGATGGACCTTGATTTTTTCTGTTCCAAGTCAGAGGTGGCAACTCAGGCTTAATCAGCTGTGGCAAAGTTGTGTCCCACATTGCAAAAGATGCATGAATAAAATCTGGTTGTTCTCTAGCTCTTTGAGTAATGTATTTCCCCATTGAAAGTGGTGTGGGTGTAGGTAAGGCAAACATTACCATCCTGTCAGCCGCTGTTATGGTGTATTCCTGTACCTTGATCCTAGTTATTAAATCTTAGCAACATTTATCATTAAGAAACAGCTTCACAAAAACCAGCTGCTACCATCTTTAGGATTCAGTTACCTTGGGTGTGTACCTGTGAGATACTTATGTGACTATGCTGATGCTTTAATGACATTTGACTAAGCATCTCATTTAACATTTTATTTCAAGAAATGTTTCATAGTCTATCAGAAGGGCAAGGTATAGGTGCTATCTTTTATTCAGGAACAACTTGATCTTGTTCGTGGAACTTGTATAGAAACAACTACAGTAGGTTTGGTTCATTTGGTAAACTTCAAGTAGTAGTCATCAGTCCCTTAACTTCCTTTACCAGAATTTTTTCCCCTCTGCATTCATGACAAAATTAAAAGTATTTCATTTGTATATCAATTTTCTTCATCTAATCTCTTGAAATATCAAGAATCTACTAAGATGCTAAGAAAAGGTTAGCGAAAGAAAGAGATGCCCTCTAGGTTTTAATTCAGAAAATTGTCAGGTTGAAAGAGTTTGAGTTATAGCACATATCACAAGAGACATTGATTTAAACTTCCAAAACAAACATATTTATGATTACAATAATTTTACCCTTGTGCCATCTTTTTTTTCAGTTTTTTAAGAATTTTGAAAAATAAAGCACATTCTTTAGCTTATAACCCATCATTCATATCTATTGTATTGGAGTTCCCCTTTTCAGAAAACTCAGTTTGATTTTGGAAATAGTTTATGGAAGCTGTTATTTACCTTCTAGGATGCCTTAAATAGCATCATTTTCTAATTCTTTAAAAATATGATTTAAGCTTAGATTCTACAACTGGTGTTTAATGGGCAACTATTATGTCAAATACAAGAATAAGTCTTAATAGTAAATCTTAACGTGTTAGCTTTCCGCTGCTGTGACAAAAATACATAAGACAATCAACTTGGAGGAGACAAGATTATTTTTGGCTCACGATTTCAGAGGTTTCAGTCCATGGCATGGTTGCTTGAACCTGTCGCCTTTAGGCCTATAGTGAGGCATATGTCATGGGGGGAAAGTGTGTGGCAGAAGAAACTGCTCACCTCATGATGGCTGGGAAGCAAAGAGAGTGAAAGGAAGGAAGAAGCCAATATCTCAGCATCACTTTCCAGGATAGGTCCTCAAAGATCTCATTTCCTTCCTCTCAGCTCCACTAATGCCAGGGCTGCGGACCACACTTTTAACATATGGGGCCTGTGGGGTGCTCTAGATAAAAAAATAGTACTTAATTATTTGTAGTTCAGTCCTCTTCTGGAAGAGACATGAGATGTAAGAATGAACCAAAGTAGAGTACAGTTTGTCCACCCATTCTGTACTCTTCAGTGGGCCATTTGATACTTTGCTGCAAGACAGAGATATAGTTTCTCTTTCTCCAAAGCTCTTCTAGATAAGTGAGCGTATACTTGTTATAAGGCTGAGATTCAGGAAAAATGATAAAAAGAATAATAATTCTGATGTGCATTTACTTGAATCACTGTACTTGATTAAGGAAATGTTGAATGCATGACTTGGTTAGAATTGAAGCTCAGTTGTTGTAACAGGGACTAAAATAATGATGTCTTAAGAAAGTTAGGTGCTTCTTTCCCTCTCACTTAATAGTTGGAGGTGGGCAGTTCTGGGTGCTGAGAAAGTGCCCAGGGTCACACATCAGAAGCCTGTAGTTTCCCCAGACCTTATGTTAGTTAGCCAGTTCTCTCTGCTTCCCAATCTATCATGATGATTATTTTTTAATACTTAGATGCATTTTTAATGTTACCATCCTTGACTAGTCACCAGTGGTCCCTTGAGAATAAGTGCGATGTGTATGTGCTGCTGAAGCGAGAAAGAGAATAAGTGCAATGTACAGAGTGCACTGAGTTCCAGGGAGATTGGGAGACAAAGGCCTGGGTAATCTGTAGCAGTGTGAGTAATGAAACCAGCAGCAGAACCACTGCAGGTGATGTAGGTAAGGACTTTCATAAAGGAATTAGACATCAAATAATTGGGGAAGAATCTGAGGAAGCGAAGGTCTAAGGAGAAATGACTGGAAGGGAAAGGAAATCTCTACTGATCAGGGCCCAGAGGGGAGGCTGGAGGAAGGATATCTGTGGAAAGATGTTGATTGTGGTTCTGATTGTGGCCTGGAGCCTGCAGGATAGAAGAGCTGGACTCAAGCTAGAGAGAAATCTATGAGAGCTGGAGTCCACGAGAAGAAACTGCAGCCTGTGTCTGTTTCTCCCTATGTCAGTTCTGGGCATGCAGGCTGTCTGCAGGAAAATGTCTGTCCTCCAAGAACTCCGACAATGAGCCTGGGACTTGGACAAAATGTAGGAGGAGCGCTGGCCAGACATATTGCTCCTCTGCTCCCACTGACAAGGGGAGCCAGAGGTCAGCAGCACAGTGTGCAAGCCACAGCGGTGGTGAGAGCCTTGCAGCAACCAGCAGGCTCCCGGCTATGCCCCATGGGCCTTCCCAGCTTATGCAGGTTTCTCTTCCTGACAACCTTCACCCAGAAGTGTGCGAGAAGGGATTTCTGGGAAACATATTCACAGCTTAGCTAAACTGACACAGCACAAAACCACTGCAGTGATACACTCTGGACTCAGCTAAAATAGATATGAATATGGAAAAATATATTTCAAGAGAGTAAGGGCCCTGAATTCAGTCTTCAGTTGTAGAGATAGAAAGTTTTTTCAAAAAAAATTAAAATGTTAATTATTAAAATGTATGAGTAGCTTCCATTCCATCCACTTCTTAAAAAAGAGGTGAGATCATCTTATTAATGTCTCTTGGACTTTGTTTCTTTAGCTATAAACCCAAAAAACACTCTGGCTAATGCACTGAAAAGGCTTTCGTGTTTGTTTTCTCAGGAACACTAATTATCTCCCTTGGGCTGATGATTCTCACTTATCTCCAGTTCTATCGTCTCGCATGACTTTCAGTTCCCTTTTTTCCCCAGTGAGTATGAGACTTTTCCACTTTGATTCACCACTGTCAACCAAACAAAAAGCCCAGGTCTGAATTCTCTTGCCTTACACCAGAATGTCTTACCACTTCCCTTCCTTTCCCATTTACATGGGCCACTCCCTAACCACTCAGGGCTAAAGTTTTGGGGCCTTTTCTCAATCCAGTCATTGACCAAACACTCCTGGATTTTCCCTCTCAAATAGCTCCCGTGTTTACTGTTTCCTTCCTGTGTCTTCCATCCTCGTAGCATTATGTTCTTATGTCTAGGCTACTGGGAGAAACTTGCAATAGTCCGCTTCCATCCCAGGCCCTTCTCATGCCCATCCATCCTTTGTACCAGTGTTGATTAAATGTCATTTTCCTCATATTGGTTGTGCTCCC